TATCTTAACAACTTGCTGAGAAAAAAATATACATTCTCAAATTATGGAAAGTTACAAGGATGATCCATTCCTTTCTCATTGGCTTTGTGACCCCTCCACAGAGAAAACTCATGCCAGGTTTTAAAAAATAGTCATTTTTATTCTCTATGTCTGTCTGTGTATGTGTGTGTGTGCATACACAATAGTGTGTGTACCTGTGGAGAGCCAAAAGAGGCAGAGGGTCAGATCCTTTGGAACTAGAATGACATGTGTGTGTAAGTCACCTGACTTCCATGATGGGAAACAAAGTGAAGCCCTCTGGAAGTATAGCCAATGCTCTTCATCATGCATTAATTTCCCCAGGCAGCAAGTCATTTCCTTATATGCTTGCTATTGTCGGAGAGTTTATTGTTTGCCTCAGGTTTCCAAGAAACAGAAATGGCAGGGAAGCAAAATCATGCCAACATTATCAAGTAAATATTTTGTAAATTTAATTATGTATATATTTTATGTGTTCCTGTGTATACGTGTGTACCGTGTGCTTGCAAGGACCTACAGACTTGAGAGGAGGCATTGAATGCCTTGGATCTGGACTCACAGACAGTTGTGTACTACCACGAGTGTCTACAACTGAACCCGAGTCCTCTGCAAAAAACGGTAAACATTCCTGTTGAGTCAACATTCCAACCTATTTTTTTTTAAAAAAAATTAGTTAAAAAAAAGTCTAGTTAAATAACAACCACAATTCCCCTTCCCTTTTCTCCCTCCAATCTTTCATATATTCTCACAATAATTTGTGGAATTGATGACGTTTGTCTTTATGATTACAACCTCCTGATACTGTTCTTGTTTGGGTATCTATGGTTTTAGGTTTGGTCACCCTGTATTGGATAACCAATACAGGGCCCACACCTGGGAGATAGTTCTGTCTCACTAGTTGTTTATAGTTTTTTTTTTTTAAGGGTGGAATCCCATGAGATCTCCTACTTCCCTGTCTGTTGTTGTTATTGTTCTTGTTGGGTACAAAATGTTGAGGTATTATAGGTGTAACTTCTCTGTCATTTCTAAGAGACCACCTCACTCAAGAAATCCTTCTAATCTGATTCCTAAAATCTTGTCACCCCTTTTAAGATGTTCTCTGAACCTCAGGGGCAGGAGTTGCATTGTAGTTTTATCAAGTAGGTCTGGGGGCTCGGCTATCAGCTGATCTCTGCATTATGAACAGTAAGGTTTAAAGGAACTGTTTGCTCTAAAGAGTTTTTAAAAAGGACTATACTTGTTTGAGTATGTTTTAAAACTCAGGGATTTTGCTGGCCTAGCAAATTGGCAGACACAGGTGTTTTTTTTTTCTTTTAAGGATTTATTTATTATGTATACGGTGTTCTGCATCTATGTCTGCTGGCCAGAAGAGGGTAGCAGATCTCATTACAGATGGTTGTGAGCCCCCACATGATTGCTGGGAATTGAACTCAGGACCTCTGGAAGGGCAATCAGTGCTCTTAACCTTTGAGCCATCTCTCCAGCCCCAGATAAAGGTTTTCTAAAATCCATGGCCTTGCTAGTCCAGATTAGATTTCTAGTACCAGGAATGATTTTTGTCCTGTTGAGAAAGTCTTCAATTATATAGTAACTGGTTACCACCACCAAGATACGGGTGACACTATTCTAACTCTGGTATCTTGCCAGGCTGATCACTGTTGGGGTCCATATGGTTCTTACTTTCCTTTGCTATGAAGAGACATCATACCCAAAACTTATGAAAGAAAAGATTTGCTGGATGGGGTGCTGCACACCTTTAATCCTAGCACTTGGGAGGCAGAGGCAGACAGATCCCAGTAAGTTTGAGGTCAACTTGGTCTACAAAGTGAGTTCCAGGAGAGCCAGGACTGTTACACAGAAAAACTGGCTTGAAAAACTACACACATTCATGGAAGAAAGGAAAGAAAACATTTCTTGGCACTCATGCTTCCAGAGATTAGAGCCCATGATTATCAAGGCAGGCAGTCTGGCACCAGACAGGCAAGCAGTTCTGAGCAGTAGCTAAGCCCTTACCTCACATCATGACTTGAAAGTTGGAAGCAGAGAGAAAGAGCTACTGTAGAAGAACATGAGCACTGGAACCTCAAAGCCGCCCCAGCCACATCTTCTAATCTTCCCAACAATTCCACCAAGCGGAAACCAGTCATTCAAATATATGGGGGCCATTCTCATTCAAACCACAATAGAAGTCACTGGTGGGGAGGGCTATAGACTGCTTCTCTTACTTGGCAACTTATACTTTATCTATTACCATGCCAGTTAGATTAAAGGAAGGTGGTTTTGTCGCTAGGTCCAGCTCAATCCTTTGAAGTCCTGCATCCTAATTGTACAGCAAAACTGACTTGCTTTCAAGCTTGCAGAGATGACCAAAGGAAAGAGAAAGCCCCTAAATTACTTTGGGAATCACATAGACTATCCTGAACAAATCAAACGGAGATTTCTCATGCTTGGTACTGGTGTTTTTATTAGTGCAGGATTCTTGGGAGGAGGCACTACAAAGTCAAATGATATAACGTCATTTAATATACACATGTGTTTGTATATCCATGTGTGGATACATAATCTCAGTCACAATATTATGTATTGTATATAACTTTAGGTATGTGCAAAATAACAACTCTTAAAACATTATCAAATACCACTAGTATTTGTTCTTCTCTTTCCTGTATTCACCTTTCCCATCCTGTGCCCGACTAGAAATGTCTGCCTCCAGTCTTCACATTTTTCTCCTCACAGCCCTCACATCCAGTTAGTCCCCTCTCCAGCCTCTTCTCTAATTACCAACGGAACACCATTCAGCTATAAAGAAATTGTAAATCAGAACAGTTTGACACATAGAATCAACTAGAAAACAAGTACATTAGCCCATACTTAGAAAGATAAATCTCTCCTGTTTCATTTGTGGTTTCTTGCTCTAAATCCTCAGATGTGAAAAGATAACCTGGACTAAACAAAGAAACCACATATTGCCTTCCTAGTAAAAATACAATGAAAGCAAAACTCCCATGAAAGAATGGGACAATAACAAAAATGCTCAGAATTTGACTATACTTTCCTCAAATTGTTCATTTCTAAAATATTCTGGAGTAACTTCCAGAAGTATTATATCCTACATGAGATTCAAATACATGAAAAAGTTTCAGTTTTTTCTTATCATATTCAAAATGACACCTAGTTTTTTTTTGTTTTGTTTTGTTGTTTTTACAGTTTTGCAATGAAAATTCTCCTGGTTGGATTTGGATGGATCTTCTTAAGGTCCAAAGCAGGTTGTGTTTTCTATAGCTGTGATGGATGGATCACAACTGCTAAAAGAAGTTTAAAAAGCAAGTGTTACATTTGGCTTGCAGTTACAGAGTGTGAGTATCTGTGGTGGCAGAGCAAAGAATGGCCACGCTATCCTATAATAAGGAAGCAGAGAGAATACACTGGGAGTGTCACTATCTTTTGAGTCACCTTAAAACTTCCTGAGAGTGACAGATGTTCTCCAACAAGTCATACTTCTACCCATTCTCAGTTAGTTCCACCATTTAGAAACCAAGTATTCAAACTTACAAGCCTTTGGGCCCATTCGCACTCAGGACACTAGTATAGTTGTATTCAAAGGTACTGTCCTAGCCATAGGGGGCAAGACAGACATTATTCCACATCTTGTAAGTGATTTTTATTCTATATAGAGTCACATATCATGAGTTAAGTATTACACTTTTTCTGGGTGGTGGTGGCACATGTCTTTAATCCCTGCACTTGGGAGGCAGAAGCAGGCGAATCTCTGAGTTTGAGGCCAGCCTGGCCTATAGAGCTAGTTCCAGTACAGCTAGAGCTGTTACACACACACACACACATACACACACACACACACACACACCATAAAAAACCTGTCTCAAAAATCAAAACAGAGCAAACAACAAAAAAGAATTACACTTTGTTCTCTCACAATGTTTCTACATCTAAAAAATGTATCTATTAGTTTCTGTTTCCTCTGCTTTGAACATTTTCTTCATTACTCACTTGTATGTCTCTGTGTATGTATTTTTTGGGAAGTATGCATGTGATTGTCAGAATACAACTTTCAAGATTTGGGTTTTTATTTACAGTGTAAGACCCAGGGAGGTAACTGAGATAATCAGGTTTTGTATGAGAACTACTCTTAGCTGATGCACCTCATGACCCAACCAGTTTTCTTTCAATCCTCACAACGGAGGCGAGCAAACCAAATGCAGCATCACATATTTACTCTGGCAGAAGTGTTACCCACTGCACCTCTTTTCACTGTGAGATCATACGGGTTTATATAGCGATGTGAAACAAAAATACAGGCATACTCTGGCTATATGGAAGATGTTTCTGAACACTATGAATTAATTTTTCACGTCCATTTAAAAGTTTTCCATCACTATGAAATTCTTTTATGGATATAATCGAACTATGACTGCTAAAGGCTTTTCCACATGATTACAGATGTATGGCATCTCCTCATCTTTCATGAGCGTTACACCAACTGGAACTGGGGAAGGTTTTGCCACAGTGCTTACATGCATAAGGTCTCTTTCCAGTGTTTTACGACTCTCGTGGCAAGTGGAACTTATGACAGCTTTCCCACAATGCTTACATCCATTAGCCTACTGCCTAGTGGGATGCCTTTTACGACTGTCATGCCACTGGAAGCGAAAGTTTTTTTCAACGATGCTTACATGCATAAGGTTTCTCTCCACTGTGACTCCTTTCATGAATGTTAGGATAACTGGATCGGGCAAAGGTTTTTCCATAATGCTTACATGTGAATTCTTTCATGATTATGACAGGAATTAAAAATGGCAAAGGTTTTCCTACAAGAATACATACACAAGGTTTCTCACCAGTATGAATTCTTTTTTTTTTCTTAAATATTTATTTATTTATTATGGACACAATATTCTGTCTGTGTGTATGTCTGCAGGCCAGAAGAGGGCACCAGACCCCATTACAGATGGTTGTGAGCCACCATGTGGTTGCTGGGAATTGAACTCAGGACCTCTGGAAGAGCAGGTAGTGCTCTTAACCTCTGAGCCATCTCTCCAGCCCACCAGTATGAATTCTTTCATGAATGGTATGGTATGTAGAACTACTCAAGGCCTTTCAACAATGATTACATAAATAAAGCTTTTCAGTGTGAATCTTTCATGTCTCTTTTGATGAGAACTAGTGAAGGCTTTCCCACAATGCTAACATGCATAAAGCTTCTTTTCAGAGTGGATTCTTTCATGAACGTTACGATAATACGAGCTGGAGAAGCTTTTCCCGCAATGCTTACATGCATAAGGCTTATCTCCAGTGTGAACGCTTTCATGTCTTTTAAGATAAATGGAGCGGGTAAAGGCTTTTCCACAATGTTTACACGAGTAAGGCTTCTCTCCAGTATGAATCCTTTCATGAATGTTACGATAATAAGAAGTGCTGAAGACTTTCCTACAATGTTTACATGCATAAATCTTCTCTCCGGTGTGAGTTCTTTCATGAATTTTACAGTGCTTGGATCTGTTGAAAGCCTTTCCACAATGTTTACAGGCATAAAAAGGCTTATTTACATTATGAATTTGTAAGTGGCAGTTATGCAGACTGGGAATGGTGAAAGTTTTTCCACAGTGCTTACATGCATCAGGCTTTAGTTCTCTGTCAGTTACTTTATGTTTCTTAAAATACTTCACATACTTAAATGTTTTCCCACATTGCTTACAAATGTAACTTCTCTCTCCAAGATGACTTTTTTCATGGTTGACGAGGTCACTGGAATCAATGAAAGCGTCTTCACAGAAATTACACACAAAGGGTTTCACTCTTTTATGGATTCTGTGATCTTTCTGGCCATGTGTACATCTCTTTAAGATGTTCTCACTGAGTTTATCTCCAGTGTGAGTTCTCTCCTGAGGCTGATCAGAAGGAAGACTCCTACAGGCTTCATTACATTGTTGGTTTTGATAAGATTTGTCTCTAGGAGATGTTTCAAGTACCTGAAGGTTTTTATAAGATTTGTCTCTAGTAGATGTTTCAAGTACCTGACTGATATCTTCCCAATGTTTTGTTGGTTTAAAAGACTTCACCACAGCTTCCTTACACTGAAATTCATTGCTTCTACTTTGGTCTCTTTGATAACCTTGTAAGGATGAATGACCAATGATGTTCCTTTCATGTAACCTGCTTTCATATACTGTTTTTGCAGGAGGCATGTCTTTATTAACCATATTCTTTGGAGTAGATTCCTGGTTTTCATTATACTCAGTATCACTCTGATATCCACAGTCTTTCTCAACCATTTGAGTTCTGCAAAAAACAATGAGAACAGCATTACTGTAGAAAAAAAATGTTTGAGGCTGGCTTATGGTGTTCACTACAACTATACTATCCCTGAGGCAACAGCAGAATGTCTCTAATGTTAAGGACAATATGAACCACATGTAAAGACCCTGGCATGTGTAAAGAACTAGAGTGTTGATTTTATTTAAGAATTATGAAGGAGCTGTATCATAGGGTCAGATGTAAAGAATAATTCTGGCTCTTCTAGCAGACCCTCCACCAGCAATCATGTGGAGGGCACATAAGTTCCTGTTCCTGTTGATCTGAAGGATCTGATGCCCTTTTCTGGTCTCCACAAATGGTTCTGCACAGGTGGTGAATACAAGCACACATATACATACACATAAAATAAGTAACAAACATAAAAAGAGTGACCATGAAAGCAAATGTTCTGGTGTTAGCAGACATAATAATCATAATAATCACACAGTCCTCTAACACTATGACATTTAGACATTTGAAATACTTAGCCTGTGTTGGCTAGTTTGTTATCAGTTCAACCTGAACTAGAACTGAGAACATGGCTAGATCAGATTGGCTTGTAAGCAAGTCTGTGGGAGCATTTTTAAATTCCTGATTAATGAGGCCATGTTAGGTAATATGCTACTGGGCAGGAGTACAGGAGCTGTGAGAAAAATTATGTTAGTAATCCATGAAGAACAAGCCAGTAAGCAGCCTTGCTCCACGGTCTCCAGTTCGGTTCCAGCCTCTAGGTTCCTGCCTGTTTTAAGCCCTTGTCCTGCCTTCCCTTGCTGGACTATAACATGGAAGTGTAAGCCAAAATATGCCCCATTTCCCCAAAGATGACTTTGGTTACGGTGTTTAACATAGGAACTGAAAGCATCATAAAACAGAAGTTGCTTACCAGATTCATGGGGTAATGCTGAGACAGAGGTGACCATGTGGTTTTTATAAGGGTTGTGAGAATGTCTAGACGACTGGGCTCTTTCAGAGCTTAATATTACATAACACGTTGGTGATATTACTCAATTACACAGATAAAAAACTCAAATACTGAATGACACAGTTCAATATTCTGTTAGAGAAATTGGTGTAAAATCAATTTGCAATTAGATATATTTAGATCATTTGGTAGGTTCTCAGTTGTCCTACCATTCCCAAATATTTGATGTAAATTGCTTTGTTTGTTTGTTTGTTTTTGTAGCTAGGGTTTCTCTGTATAGCCTTGGTCATCCTGGAACTCACTCTGTAGACCAGACTAGACTCAAGCTCAGAGATTTGCCTGCCTCTGCCTTCCGAGTGCTGGGATTATACATGTGTGCCACCACCACCCGGCTATAAATTGCTTTCTATCGAATAAAAATTACCCCAGATTTCTGTTGAGATCTCTGTGGTCCTCTTCAATACTTTCTTCTAGTGTTTCCTCTAGAAGTAAATCCAAAGAGTCCATTATGACAAATTCAATGCTTAAAAACAAATAGAATCTAGTTCTTATGACATGGATACAGTCATTAAGTTCTGCACATGTTCCCTTCAGGAATTGAAACCACAACACCACACACATAATCAGGATACAGTTTCTCTCTGACTGCTGACTGAATAAGCAATGGCAGTATGCTGATATTTATTTTTTATTTATTCATTTATTTTTACCTATGGAGAGCAGGTTCAAAAATGTTTCCTTCATCACATCTCTGTAGAGTTTCTTTTGCCTATCATCCAACATCGTCCACTCTTCTACAGTGAAGATCACAGCTATATCCACAAAGGCCACTGGTTCCTATAACAGTGCACATATTAGGATGGTTAGTTTTAACAGCCAGGTTGATGACATACAAAATCATCTAGGGCAGAAATTACTGAAGACAGCTCTATAAGTGATTATGTAGATAAAGGTTAACCCAAAACATCCATAGGATACTCTCTTGAGTTCCTGTTGTAAGAAAGGCAGATGCACAGTCTCAGTTACTATTCTGCTGCTGAGATGAGAGCTCATGATCAAGGCAGCTACTATAAAAGGAAGCAACTGATCAGGGCTTGCTCTCACAGTCAATGATTGTCACGGAAGAATCAAGGCAAGCATGGAGCGGGAACAGTAGTTGAATGTTTTACTCCTGAGGAAAGGCAGCAGGCAAAGAGACAGACACAGTGCCTGGAATGGGCTTTTGAAACCTCAGAGACCACTACTAATGACACCCCCTCCCACATCATTGCCACATCTCCCAATTCTGTCCAGCTACTTCTACTAACTGGGGATGAAGCTTTCAAACATATGAGCCTATGAGGGCTATTCACACTTAAAACAACACACCTACCTATTCGAGATGCAGCATTTTGTGAAATATAAAGGGTTTATATTAGTGGAAGGAGGGAGCTGAGACACAGGCAACTATACTCCACTCTAGTTCTGATAGTGTGTGATTTGATCAGCTGCTTCAGAGTCCTGCATTTTACAGACTATATCCTTAAACTGTGAGAAAAAATAAACTCATTCTGCCTCAAGTCACTTTTTTTCCGAGTCATTTCTGATAGACAGATGAAAAAGCCTAAAATAACAAATACATTTTTTGAAAAGTGGGACCATTGTTGTCAATAAACCTAAGCAGGATCTCTGTGGGCATTTAGAACTTGTTTTGGAAGGAATGTGGAGGAATTGGCAAGAAAATTTTCTTTAGAGAAGGAAAAATCTAGAACACACTGAATTCAAAATCTAAGAAAAAAAGGTTGATAGAAATGGCACGGACCAGGAAGGTTGAGAGGAGACAAAGAGCCAGGAATTTCAGTAAGGGCTATTCTTTGTGCAATTAGGATTAAGAACATAGCTGCATTCTGTCCTACTTGAAATGAGCACTTGAAATGAACGTGAATGTAAAAACTGTCAAATACTTTAGTAGAAGAAATGAGGGTGAACAAACTAAACTTCTGAACAAGCAAAGCTGATGCAACAGATGACAAGATTAGCACTAACCACTGACCAACAGCAAAGCAGGCAAGCACAGAGCAAACACAGGGACTGGGAGTCTACTTGGCATGGGTTTGCACAACGTCCTCTCTGAACAATGAACCTAGCATTGTGTGGGTATCCTTTGAACAAACATCTTTAATGGGCTGTACTGATATCTGCTTTAAAAATAGCAACAAGCAGTCCCTTTAGCAATGGCTTGGTAACTCCTTATTGTACTCAAATACCTTTTGGGAATCATATGGGGCATACGGGAAATAGGCTGACCTGCACTGAAGTAGTCTGAGGTACATGTGCAGTAAGGTAACCTGTAGTCTCAAAAGGAATGTTCAAGAATAATCTTTCTTTTTCTGTTGTTACAATATTTTTTCTTCTAAACAACTGGGCTTGCATATGTTTAAAATCAGATGACTCTGGGAAATGCCATGTATGTTAGCAAGGTTTACCAAATGACATCTTGTCAGTCAAAACACTAAACCTTCTGTGTATGCTGTGTCCTTCAGCAACCAATTCCTCTTTCTTTCAGTCTCCCAACTAGCCATTGATATCCGTGAGCACCCCCACTCATGCAGGCTGTTAGCATCTTTCACTGTAGATTGATTCTTATAGTATGCCTTTGCTTAGAATGAACTGGACCCTGCCCAGAACTCAGCAACCAATTAACTTAGTTCCTGGCAAATGGGTATATAGAGGGAAGTAAATCAATTCTCTCATTACTAAAAATTTCCTTCTCACTTTCTAGACCTTTTTCGTTGTGATATCTATTGCTGCAACGTCTAAACTAATCAGTTTTGTCACTAAGAATCATCAACCAAAATCACCAACCATGTTCTACAATAAAGGTTGGCTGAGGACGGACCATTTCTGATATGTTTTTCCTCCAGGAACAGATGAGAAATTGTACAGGTTGCTTTTACCTCAACTTGACAGAAGCTAGAGTCACCAGAGAATGAGCCTCTATTGAGAAAAAGAGCTCTATAAGATCCAGCTGTAAGGCATTTTCTTAATTAGGGATCAATGGGAGATGGCCCAGCCCATTGTGGATGGTGCCATCTTTTAAGCTGAGAGTCCTGGGTTCTAGAATTTATTTTTACTTCATGTGTATTGGTGTTTTGTCTGCAAGGATGTTTGTGTAAGTGTGGGAGACACCCTAGAACTGGAGTGAGCTGCCAGGTGGCTGCTGGGAATTGTACCTGGGTCCTCTGGAAGAGACTTCAGTGCTCTTAACTGCCAAGCCATCTCTCCAGCCTCCATCCTGGGTTAGAGTGGTATATCAGTTGTGTTTTAATAAATAAAGCTTACCTGAAGATCAGCGAGTAAAAGAGTCACACTGGTCAGTCATACAGATCAGGCAGTGGTGGCATGTAGGGCCCGGGTCTGCCCCTGCTCCTTGGGTGCATCTTGGGGACAGTTTCTGGTCAGCCAGCTAAAACATTGTGTTTGTTCCTGTGCTCCCTCTGCCTCACCTGGTGATTAGCTGTAGGGCATTGTTTCATCTTTGGTATGGTAAATTCCCACCTGCCTGGGCGGAAATCCTTGTGCAGCAGCTAGGTGTAATAGGATTTCCCCAAAGTTGAATAAACGGCTTTTGGCTGATCTCCTTTCGAATGACCCAGGTCTCTTGAGTGTTCTTTCAATCTCCAGGCCCTTGCCCGACTAGCGTCCGGTACAGTGCCGCACGAAGTGTACCGAGAGGGTAACACAAAATTGGGTGTTACAATTGGAGGCCCCGCTGGCATCATCAGCAACTACAGTCGGAAGCCGATCAGCAAGATCGGGAAGTAGGGATCCCTGCCTGAGAGGTCGCCCTCGGAAGGCTGGCCAGCAGGTAAGAAATGAAGTGGTGGGGGTGTATTGGTGATGGGTGCAAGTAATTCTTTTTCAGTACTGATGGCCGATTAAAGGGCCAATTGATAGTGCTTTTAGAGAAGCAAGGCAAGGAAGGCACCGGTATTAAAATAAGATATCACAAGAGTTTAAACAGACCTGTAAGTCGCGAGGAAATAGAAGCTGTCATCAGAAACCTCCCTACCAAAAAAAGCCCTGGACCAGATGGTTTCAATGCAGAATTCTATCAGAACTTCCAAGAAGAGCTAATACCTATACTCCTTAAAGTGTTTCAAATAATAGAAACAGAAGAGTCATTGGCAAACTCCTCCTATGAAGCTGTAGCTACCCTGATACCAAAACCACACAAAGACTTACCCAAGAAAGAGAATTACAGACCAATCTCACTCATGAACATCGATGCAAAAATTCTCAATAAAATACCGGCAAACAGAATCCAAGAACACATCCAAAAAATTATACATTATGATCAAGTAGGCTTCATCCCAGAGATGCAGGGCTGGTTCAACATACCCAAATCTATCAATGTAATCCATCATATAAATAAACTGAAAGAAAAAAACCATATGTTCATTTCATTAGATGCTGAAAAAGCATTTGACAAAATTCAACACCCCTTTATGATAAAGGTCTTCGAGAGACTAGGGATACAAGGTTCATTCCTAAACATAATAAAAGCAATATACAGCAAGCCGACAGCTAACATTAAATTAAATGGAGAGAAACTCAAAGCCATCCCATTAAAATCAGGAACAAGACAAGGCTGTCCACTCTCTCCATACATCTTCAATATAGTGCTTGAAGTTCTAGCAATAGTAATAAGACAGCATAAAGAGATCAAGGGGATTTGAATTGGAAAGGAAGAAGTCAAACTTGCATTATTTGCAGATGATATGATAGTGTACATAAGCGACCCCAAAAACTCTACCAGAGAACTCCTACAGCTGATCAACACCTTTAGTACTGTGGTAGGATACAAGATTAACTCCAAAAAATCAGTTGCCCTCCTATACACAAAGAACAATGATACAGAGAGGGAAATCAGAGAAACATCACCTTTCATGATAGCCACAAATAGCATAAGGTATTTTGGGGGTAACTCTAACCAAGGAAGTGAAAGATCTATTTGACAAGAACTTTAAGATTTTGAAGAAACCTTAAAATTGAAAAGGATACCAGAAAATGGAAAAATCTCCCATGCTCTTGGATTGGGAGGATCAACATAGTAAAAATGACAACTCTACCAAAAGCAATCTATAGATTCAATGCAATCCCCATCAAAATCCCAACAAAATTCTTCACAGACCTTGAGAGAACAATAATCAACTTTATATGGCAAAACAAAAAACACAGAATAGCCAAAACAATCCTATTCAATAAAAGTACTTCCGGAGGCATTATCATCTGTGGCTTCAAACTCTATTACAGAGCTACAGTAATGAAAACTGCTTGGTATTGGAACAGAAACAGAGATGTTGACCAATGGAATCGAATTGAAGACCCAGATATTAATCCACAAATCTATGAACATCTGATTTTCGACAAAGGAGCTAAAATTATACAATGGAAGAAAGAAAGCATCTTTAACAAATGGTGCTGGCATAACTGGATGTCAACCTGTAGAGAAATGAAAATAGATCCATATCTATCACCATGCACAAAACTCAGGTCCAATTGGATTAAAGACCTCAATATTAATCTGACCACATTGAACATGATAGAAGAGAAAGTGGGAAGTAGTCTACAACACATGGGCACAGGAGACCACTTCCTAGGTAGAACCCCAGTAGCACAGACAATAAGAGAATCAAAGAATAAATGGGACCTCCCGAAACTGAGAAGCTTCTGTAAAACAAAGGACACTGTCATTAAGACAAAAAGGCAACCTACTGATTGGGAGAAGATCTTCACCAACCCCTCATCAGACAAAGGTCTGATCTCCAAAATATACAAAGAACTAAAAAAACTAG